ATGCTGTTGGCTTAATAGCTCCGTGGCATATGGTTTAACAGCAACATTGATCGCGAGACAATACAGGTCACAAGGGATGAAAAAACGATGTAATGGGCAGTAAGAGCTGGAGTTACGTGGGGAAACCTTTCACATCCCAGCTCAGCTGTCGCGGCATAAAATTTCACAACCTGACGACTAGTACGCTGTTAGTCATGATGTGGGATGAAATCGCATAACAAGTAAATCACTTTGTCATGTGGTCATCTAAAACTTCAGCAACTTTCCTCAGTCGTATCTGGTATTTTCTACGATGTGATCGATTTGGCGGCTTTTAAACTGAATTTGAGTAACGAACTTGCATCCATCGCGAACGTTTGGCTGATTTCGTTACAACGTAAGAACTTTGTGTCTCAAGCGGTTTTCTAACAGATGCGTGTCGTTCCGTTTTTGTTTTTGTGTTGTTTCGTTTGGTATTTATGAAGAAAGCTGAACCGTTGCAAGAACCGTTGCGACTTTGATTTTTCACGAAATTTCTCAGGCCAGACTGGATAACTACTCGACGTTGTTTCCGCATTGTCGCTGCGTGCGCTAAGAGGGGCTTGATAAATACTTCCAGCCTTACAAATCCACGCGTGCCACTGCTCACCCCCTCGGTAAATGCTCTTCCATTCAGGGGAATGAAACCGCGGCGTCATTTGTGAATCCTAGTGCTCAAAAGGCCAGATGCTACAAAGTCTCCCTTTTTTCTCATACCTGAGACAATACGAAAATTACGCCAATTTTAAGTCGCGCATCACATGGCTGCATGAAATCACATTTACGCAGTCCACTGCAAATTTGCCGTGTATATTGACCATAGTACGTAATTTTGCACCCACTGTTTTGTTTTCATCTTGCGAAGATAATAATCATGAATAATAACCGAATGGCGTAACACAGTGAGTGCCTTAGAGTAAGATACAAATAAAGAACTCTGTCATATTTACAAAACGTGTTCCGAAAGTTAAGTATTTGTCAACCATTATCCGACATCCGTTATGATTGCTAGCGCTTCGACGTGTCTTCCAAATTTTCATGCTAAGTATGAGTGGACGGTGCTGGGTGGCATATTAACACGCGCTAATTTCCTTACTTGGTGTTAGTGTGTTGTTAAAACATAGCGGGTGAGTGATGGCTGTGCAAACGCGCTTAAGACGTAAAGACAAAAACAAACACAAAGACACGAGGTCAATAAAAAGCCGGACGAGTTCTTCGAAGTTGGGTTACGCCATGTTCCGCACACTTAACACTAATTTTTCCACCTGACCTGCACAAATGTAGCTATAAATGAGATCCTTAGACCGATAGAACTTGTCCAAACAAGTACTAAATGTTGCTTGAGAGCGACTTCATACAACTTCGTTTGGCAGTCCATTCCAATGGTTCAATACTCTTTGACTACATGAAATCTGCCTTTTCATAGTTCTACCCCTACCTATTGCTAATTGAAGCTGGTTTTCTCCAAGTGTCGGCGTGATGTCCAGTGCTCGTCGTAGATCTGCCTTGTTATCCCTTTCGTAATCTTGAATGCCTCTATCAGATACCCCGTAAGTTTATATTATTTTAGTGAATACAGTTTCAAGGCCTTAACCCTGTCTTTATACTCTAAGTGTCCGGTCCCATTCATCATCGTAACTGTTTTCTGCTTTACTCAATTTGGCATATCTATATATTTTTGAAAGTATGGGAACCAAGCCTGCGCGCAGTACTCTAGGTGTGGTCTGACATAAGCTAGCCACCACTTTTTGACAACGCTGCTACTCTTGTAATGGACATTCCTGTAAATATGTCTCAGCATCCGAAGTGCCTTGTTCCTAGCAGCCCCACATTACTTTTCATGCTTGGAATCCCTGCAAATTATAACCTTAGGTCCTTTTTCGCCCGATCTGGCCCATCTCCAAGTCTCCCATTCGAAAGTTAATGCCCTCACTGCCAGGACTACCCAATCGCATCACCTGTCACTTAAAATTAAATGACATCTGCCACATAGAAGCCCAGTTTATTAGATTCTCTAGGTCAAGTTATGTTGTTTCCGATCGATTTGTGCATGGTTAAGGTAAGTGGGAGTATACTAGATAGGACGCACAAAATAATCATCTGTCCAATATCAAAGTTTTTTGCTCGATGTCGAGAATATCTATTTCACATGAAATAGCCAACTGCTGGGTGAAAGAATTACCTTGGTTCATAGTTGTAAAGGACGACATGCTCATTCTTTTACATGCGCTGATTGCGCATGTAAATGAGGAGGGATGTGAGTAAACAAATAATTGTGAGGATGCAACTTTTTTTGGCAGACATTAGACAAATTATCAATTGAGGCAGCATACATAATCTGAAGTATGCTAATCGAGCTGGCAAAATTCAAAATTCAGTCCGGTCCTTATCTACGTTTTGGGGGAAATTTCAGATCCGATGCGATCCGGCCCGCGGATTGACCCACATTCCGTGGATTGGTCCAATCCGTGGAGTGGTCCAGGACGTAAGGTGCTGTAATCTGTGGCGTTCCTTTCTCTGTCGCTGACTGGTGGGTGTCTGCTGCTTTGTGCGCTCTTGCAAGCCTCTTTGGGCAACATCAGCATTCGGCCTGCCGAAGAGATAACAGCCGACCTCCATCGCCGCCGTGACGCACCAGCAGAGGTAAAAAGCGTCCACCCGCCCACGAGCGCGGGAGTCATATGAATGCCTGACCTTCATGAAAGGAGACTCAAACGCTCTTATTGTTCAAAGTTCAAGTTCACAGCGTCTGTCATGAAGCGTCGAACGCGATGAAATTACGTGCATTACAACAACAAAAGAGGAAAATACCTTTTAGTGGCTTAGACCTTTTTCAACACTGCTGTGTGAGCAGACAGTTTGTGGGCAATTTATAAACACATCCACTGTCTCCCAAATTTTCGAAGGGTTATTTTTGGCTAGTCATCAATATGATACTCGTCTTGACTACCCTGTCTCCTCAGCGCAAAAAAGCATTGCTCACTGAAGACGTAAGCTCATGAGAGGAATTTTTCATAAAATCTTTAAGCCGCCAAGCTGAATTTGTAGATCAGCTGTGTTTAGCGGAGTAGTCAAATAGGTAATCAGATTGATTAATATAGCTTTAAAGATATTTTTCATCGACATGAAAGCGTTATAATCTAGGAATGGTCATTTAAAAACTAATAAAGTGATGATCAGCCTTGTGCATTACTTCGCTTATGTAGGAGTCGTGCAGGTTGCATTAAATGCGCCAGCACGACATTGACCATTGTCAGTCGTCTGGCCTCGTGTCCCGGTGTGTATTTTGCGAGAGGGGTTGTGCAAGGCTGGTAAGTGTAGGTAAATTTAACTGTAACATTCGGCGGGTTAGCTGTGTGAGTTGTGAGTAGGAGTTACCTACCTACCTACCTTGTTCGAGTCATGTGAATAGGGCATACCCAATTTTGCGTAGGTACCTGCATAAAAATATGTGTAGTGTGTATGGCCGTAAATGGTACGTGAGCCTGAGCATCTATGTTCTGAACATTTGTTCCTTTATTACGGGAATGTGTTAAGTTTATTGTAATTCACATCTTATAGTAGAGTCTCAACATCAGGCCTTAGAATGGCGGCAGCATGATGGTAAAGTTCGCTTATTTTAGGGTTAAGAAAGACACTGAAAATTTGCCAGATTTCACAATATTTTGTTGAGACAGTATGTAAGGAAAATTACATTGTGGGGATTTATGTATTAATATATATATATATATATATATATATATATATATATATATATATATATATATATATGTGTGTTCATAGGCTTATGCGAATTTAGGTAACTTTTGGGGATAAACTTGGCATATAAAGGCAAAGTGTTTTAGTCCAGTGATCCTTTCATTTTTATAGCACATTTGCCTGACAGGTAGTGCCACGGTGAAGCAAAGGAGTGCTGGTTTTGGGCTAATATTCACGCTGTCTGATGTATCTAGTTGATATCTTTGAAATCATTTCCCAATCACGACAAGCTGCTACCTGAAACCTTAGGCTGCTCCAAATCACAGTGTTTTGCAATGCATGCCTGATATATTCAAACATGCTTATTTGAAAATGCCTTCTAAAAATGACCTTGAAAAAGAACTAAGTGTGCTTATTTTAGGATCAATATTGTGTTCAGGATTTGGGTAATTTTGAGGATGCATTCCAAGTGGCCTAAGATTTGTGATAGATCACATGTGGGAGCATGTTAAGTAAAGAAGAACCCTAAATTGGGGAAAAGACCTGCTCCATTTGGTGCAAGACTAGGATGTCTTGAAGCTTAGAATCTTATTGACATCTTTCCCAAAGTTTGAAGGCTGGTTGATTGCTTGAAATAAATGTCCACTAGGTAGGCTGAGTTGGTGTCCCATGAAAAGCAAAGCATATCATTTGTGATTACGTGGTGCCTTGATGCATGCTTGTAAGATATCATTGGGCAAGATATTTTTGTATAATGTGGGTGTCTAGCACATATAATATCAACGAAGCATGAAGGTATTGCGCATACTAGGCAGAGTGTGGGCTGCCACGTTCACTTTTCAGTGGCACGAGTAAGAGGAAATCATTGAACCGTTTCTCTTTCTGGTATTATCATAGGCTTATTAGCTGACAGAAGGAAAGTACAGTTTGTTTCCCCAAAAATGTTATGGCAGGTAGATTGTGATTAAAAAAGAAATCAACAACTTGCAGGTTTGAGATCTGGTTTCGTTTTCTGTTTACAAATTTGGCTAGCCTTCGCCCTGATAGGGGATCTCCCTCAGGTTTAAGGAAAACAAAATATGACTAAGTTTTTTTTAACAAAAAGAGTTTTTTTATAAAAAGAGTTTTTTTAATAAAAAGAGGTTTTTATAAAAAAAATACCGCTCTAGCATGCTTCGTCATTGCGTCCACCTTTTCGGTAGCCCATAAGGTGCGCATTGCACGTGTTTTGACACCACAAACATGTTCCTAGCTTCTCTGGTTTCCGAGCAGTGGCGGTTTTGTTAGGAACGCTGCACGACGACCGACAGCAGGCGCGGGCGGCGGCCGGCAGACGGCGATGCTGCGGAATGCGCGGTGGGCCGGCACTGCTACATTAACGCAGCCATATCTCATGCACATGAGCTCAAAGCAACTCAAATATACGCAATCGTGGTCAGATTTAAACAAGTACCACACCTGTTTCAATTTCGTTACCCCACGGGGCAATATTTCGGTATGATGTAAAGCTGAAAAAGTGCGATGTTCTGGAAAATTTGACCACTGACATGCCATAATGAGGTCAGCTATTATACCAACAGCATGAAAGCTGGCAATAAGCATGAACCCTTGTTGAGACCAATATCGTGGTGTTTCCTCTAAGGTTTATCTTTTTTAGTTCGGAAACGCCCGCGGATGGGGGTCGCATCCTCCCCTCTCCCCCCCCCCCCTCCATTAGTCCGCGTTATGAGAAACGGCAAATCAGGGCCAAGGTTAAGGAGACAGATCAGGGCATTTGCGTCTCGTGGGAGACAGTCGTGAGCGTTTTTGGTTCCTGCAAAGCAGCCAGCGACCGTTTCGATCCGGTCGCCTTAGATCTGGGATTATGTCCGCCTTGGCGGATCCACTCTCGCGGAGGCTCCCGCAATCAACGCGGGGCGCCGGCGGTGGCGCCGATCGCATAACTGTAATGACAACCATAATGAGGACTGTTTCGCAAACGCCGCGGCAAGATAATTTCAAATCACGTAATTGCGCTTGTGGGTTTCAAAAATGTAGGACAACAGATATGAAAATTAGAGCGGACGAATGGTTGTTGCACAAATGATACGGCTCTCTGTAATTTTTTTTTGAAATTGATGTGAGACGAATGAAATGTTCCTTGAGAGATGAAAACGTACTATGATTTCAGCACCGAGATCATCATGCCGCCGCAGCAGCCTACTCTCCTGGTATGACCCAAGGCTATGGAAACCTAGTTGTACGTTATAACCCAAGGCTATAAGGTAGAACGCTCGGGTCTCCGTAAATGTAGAGCCTATGGCTTTGCGGAAACTCCGAATTCGGACATCATACTCGTCCTTTGATAGGTCAGAGGACTTCGTCTCGTCACAAACTTAAACCTTGGTTGCCATGGCAACAAACTCTATGCTCCGCACTGTGGTAGTACGTTCAAGGGCTGGCTCCCGTCTGCGTTGCGCTACATTCTAGGACCCCGGGATGGAAAAGAGATCATTGAAAGCGTGTATACACCTATTACTCAAGATGCTGCATTGGCAAGCACCAATTGCGCGTAAATGTAGTTGTTGAGGACGGATGGTTTTCATGTATCGGGCTCACTATTTTTTGACGGCCATTCCGACGCGAGAAATCACCGTGATGGGTCTAAACGTGATACAGGGATCATGGCGCAAAGAATGGTTACAAAATAGGAATGAAGAGGAAAATGAGTCTAATGATATGCTTCCAATATCGGCTAGCCGGTGCTGATACATGGTGTAGTGAAGCACTTAGGCAAGCGCGCGTTATTATTTGCAATATCGACGCGAAGCGTATGGATCCAGTACGGGAGTGTAGGTGTGCAACTGCATGGTATGCAAGCATGCCAGTGCAATTTAAGTTGACACGCTTGTTCACAACTTTGCTGGTGCACGCAAAACGCAATAAACTGTAATTGTTGCATCTACCACTCAATGTTCTCTCGAAACTAAGCTCACAACATTCTGGTATAACAACGTTCGATATCTGGAAGAATCGCAACACATCTAGGCCAGACATAGCACGGTTTCTTCTCCCTCATCTGGTATCCATGTTATTCTAGCGGTGTGCCAATTTTCTTGTCAGAATTTTGAAAGGTTCTGGCCCATGCCAGATTGTTATGATACCAGAACCACCAAATGTGATACAATACAAAATGCGACCTGTTAGATCTGTTGAATCGCATCAACATCAGTGTGATCAGCGAATAGACAGCAATACGACCAGAGGGTTGGCGGGCAGACCGATCGGCAGCTCGGTTGATGGTCGCTCTTGCTGCCGCCGATACCAAGAGGACACCACTTTGTGAACGAAGACCACCTCCCGCAGACCGTTGGGGGTGGGCAGCGACAGGAGTGGGGCCGCGCTCCAGGTCCAGGATTTCTCGCCGCGTGGGGTGAGCGGGATGTGTGTGATTTGCCAGCATGTGATGGTGGCCGTCTGTGATTTGCAACGGCCTGTTACCGAGAAGCTGATTAGTGGAAGATCGAATCGGTGCGTAAAATGGCTGATATCATACTCCCATTCTCGAAGCAAAAGACCCCCTCGAAAAGAGTCACTCTGGTAATCGCCATAGGACAGAAATCCGAGTAATAGTGTAACGTTACGTTGAATTCGCGAGAAAATAGCTTCTTAATCGCATATCTTTTCACCTAAGCAGAGGTTTTAAAGCTCTCGTAGCATTTATTACACGAAGGTTGAACACGTTGCTGTGCTGCGCGCATTGTAGAGCACATCGTCGGAGAAAGCAAAGCAAATGGAATGTGTTACTTTCATCGTGGTGAGCAGGGTGTCAACTGAGATTTGGCCTCCGGGGTCAGCTGCTTCAACTTGCAGCTCTCAGTAATTCAAAAGGATTTCGAGACAACTGACATTACTTATTAACTTGTACCGGTCTAATGTAACAAGAACTGAAAAGCAGAAAGAAGTAGGACACTCTCTTTAAGGACAGCGAACATTCTGAAACATGCGTGTAGGAATTTAATACAGCATCAAGGTGCTCTTGCCATCAACGCAAACTAAACATTGTTTGCTGAACAAAATAAACGTGCTCCTTTTGCTTTTCACTCCACTTTGCTTTGGCATTACAGTAGTCGCATGCCTCATACAAAAATTGTGTTGCCCATCGAGACGGTTACTTCAAATCAATTTCTTGAAGGTTTGGGGATCTCGAGAATACTGATATTACCGATCCAACCTGACCCGTCTGATCCAATTGCGCGTAGGAAGTGCAAAAAGCTGGATATTCCCCTTAACAATGGCTGACATCTGGTGTTCGTTTTATGTTTTTGCATTTTCACTCTTAAGGCCCTTAACCAAAAGCTCATCAAAGTACATCACACCAAAGAACTAAAACGTACACAATTTTTCGAACATCATTATGATTCAATTATCTTGGTGTTCCTGTCCTCTATCACAGAGGCGAGGGATCAGGGTCTTGTAAGCCGCACACATCATACCATTGCCCAAACCGTACACCCAGCCCTCCGCTATGATCATCAGCACTCGGAGAAGGTGGAGGACCGATGTGGTGATGGGCATGGAATACCAACGGGAGCCAATCCTCAGGCTTGCACCGATAATGTCCAGAACGATCAGCATCGACACCACCTTAAAGATACGTTGGAAGATTCTGAAGCGCTCGGTGAGGCCGCTGTTGTCAGCGATGCGACCACCCCTGATGCGCCTGAGGTGGCACACGCCCTTCATTCCGGTGTAGACGAACAGTGCACCTGCACAGGCCGACAACATGACCAGCTGCATCTCGAGGGAGAACATGAAGGCGCTTGACATGAGCTCCCAGCGGCAGTGCGTGGCCACCTTAGTGACATTGAGTATGCGAAGGTCGAACTCAACCACTGTCTCTAGGCCGAGCAGGAAGGCGATGGCGCCAAACAGCACATTCAGCAGCAGAGTCGCCCACGTGAGCATGACCAGCTTCTTGACCTTGTCGGTGATGATGTCGTAGTACCGCAGCGGGAACACCACGGCAATGAACTGGTCAATTGCGAGGGCGAGGTGCGCCACTTTCATTCCCACGGCCAGGGATGTGCTCGTGTACTGGAGGAACAGGCAGGGTTCCAAGAACACCGACTGGACAAACACGAGGTCAACGACCCCGATCAGCACCGCATAAATTCCGAACAACAGGTCAGTGAAGGCCAGGTTGACCACCAAGACGGGCATCGGCTCGTCGAGAAGACTCCACTTCCGCGCCACGACCAGCAATGGCAAGGAGAAGTTGAGCATAAGAAGAAGACCAAAGACTACCTTAAGCCATGGCATCATGACGCTGTTGCAGGGGGCTATGTAGTTTGTTGGCAGGTGTGTGGACTTCAGCTCTCTTTAATGAGACTTTCTGAAGACGCTTTGGCGTTACTTCTTGGGAGGGATTCACGTGGGTTATGGGCGAGCAACGGCAGACTGATGACAGCGGTCGGTTGGCGAAACCGGCGTCACACAACTGTTGGTGTAGGAGAGGAGACGCACGACGAAACTGAGACTGAGCCGTTTGCCAGCGAACACTTATAAGACCAGCTCTGCCGTCGTTGTCATGCCGACCAAAATAAAAACAACACAAAACACCGTTCCAAGGAGACAGACCGCTGCCTGAAACGTAAATCGTCGCTAAATTCCCCCGAAAACACTTAATGGATACATCAATTCGGACAAGTACCTTTAATACCAGAAAATAGGTCGTTTTGTTTTCAAGCGATGAACAGCGATGTAAAGAAGCGATGCAAAGATGTTACATACCTCAGGGACCAATTCGACGACGGATTTCGATTGACAGCCGGATGCGAGCACCATTCACATCAATGGAAAACCAGAGCTCTTATTCCCTCCCAAGCAATAAAAATGTCTAGTAATCCACTGTCATATCAATCATCACATACTTGCCGTTTCTCCTGATCATGCCAGCAATCCGATTTAACCCCATTGGGTGACATTGCATTTCAGAGTCAAAATGTAGGCAGGGGCATGTTTTGTTGGTGTAAAGCATACCACAGAGTTTGAAACGCAAGCTACTGCGTGAGAAAGGTTAACTTCATGGCATGACTATAGTTTCTGTTTAACTAGTCAGTGAACGAAATTTCAGTCTTTAACTAGCTTTAGCTTGAGCTTCTTCAGCTAATGCATTTCCAGGTGTCTGCTAAAACAAAAATCGCTCCTTCCTCAGATTATTTTTCTCCCCTCCCCAATAATCCCAATCTCAAAGAATAAACACGCCGCCCTCTGTTTCGCGGCAATACTATTGGACCACGAGAAAACGACGCAGGGCCGACCCAGTTCGAAAAACTCCTTGAAAGTTCTGCAGAGGGATCAACGGGGAGTCTCGAGTGAGGAGCTAACATGAGCGGGAGGCCTCCGAAGAGATCAGTGATAGAGAGTGTATCAGGCGCCAGCAGCCGTGCCTCTACCGTTCTACCGTACGAGACGGCCCTGCCGCTCGCTTAAGCGACAATCGACTGGTTTCGTCGTCTCTCGACCTGAGACGTGACGGCATGAAGAGGCACAGGTCATGGTATGACCAAGGACCTGTGGGGACCGTTCGGGATTATGCACGGCGGTGGCTGGGTTTATCTGCTGGTACGCAACGCCATAAAAGAAAACAGGAAACAGCCTGTGCTCTTCCGACGTTGTGTAAGCAAGGACTTTTTACGTCTTACAGGCCTTAAGAGCTTTTTACGAACAAAACATCCGCCTGCCTTCTTTTTAACTTTGAAATGCAATTTCACCCATTGGGGTTCAACCGCATTCTGGCATGATCAGGGAAACGGTAAGCATGTGATGATGGATATGATAGTAGATTTTTGGACTTGGCCCATTCCCATTGCCTGGGAAGCAATAAGAGCCTAATTTTCGACTGATGTGAGTGCTACCTATGTCATTTTGTCAAGGTGATCTGTTCACTAGAAATTTGTCGTCGAATTTGTCAATGAGCTATGTAACATAATGCATCTTTTTACATTGCTTGGAATGAAAATTATCGTTTTTTCTTCCTTTAAGGGTGCCTGGATTCTTGATGTTTGTGTCTTGATGATTCATAGAGTATTTCAGGTGTCGTTTAGTGATAAATTTTGTTTGACTGGTTTTCATTTTGCTCAATCCGTGTGAGCTGACAAGTTCGAAAATCCGGCCTAGTCCTAACCCATGTTTTGGTGAAAATCTCTGATCCAATCCAATTCCAAGATTGATACAATCCGTGGACTGCTCCAATGGGAACCCATAGGTTTACCCAGTGCATGGGCACCACAAGTCAAAATCTTGTCTAGGCTATGTGGTTAGTGAAATCAGCTTCCACTTCTATGCTGTTTCCGCGCACACCAAAGCAAGCAATCCATGCCAATGAACTAAAACACCAATGCTGGGAAATATGATATCGGCGGATGAAACGTTAATGAGACACCGGGAATCATTGAGCTTGTTTCGGTCTATAGTAAAAAACAACTCACGCATATTCCATCCCGAAATGGATCCCTTATTTAGGTTTCTTAAAGTAACTTAGTCTCAGCTGTAGCTTAGCTTAGCTTGGAGACACTCGTCTCTTCTCCTTAGAGTGCCGTTTCTGTACTGTTTGTTTCTGGTTGGCATGGCAACGACAGCAGAGCTGGTCTTATAAGCGACCGCTTGCGGACGGCTCAGTCTCAGTTTCGTCTCGCGTCTCCTCTCCTACACCAGCAGTTGTGTGCGTCTGGTTTCTTCAGCCGACCGCAGCCATCAGTCCGCCGTCGCTCGTTCATCGTTTACGTTTATGGCCAATGTGACCATCACCCGCGAAATCCCGCAACGGCGTCGTCAGAAGATCTCATTCAGGCGCGCTGAAGTCCATCCAACTGCCAACAAACTACATAGCCCCCTGCAACAGCGTCATGATGCCATGGCTTAAGGTAAACATCGGCGTTCTCCTTACGCTCAACTTCTCCTTGCCGCTGCTGGTCGTGGCGCGGAAGAGGAGTCTTCTCGAAGAGCCGATGCCGGTCTTTGTGGTCAACCTGGCAATGATTGACCTGCTGTTCGGGATCGACACAGCCCTGATCGGGGTCGTTGACCTCGTGTTTGTCCAGTCGGTGTTCTTAGAACTCTGCCTGTTCCTCCAGTACACGGGCGCATCCCTGGCCGTGGGAATGAAAGTGGCGCACCTCGCCCTCGCAATTGACCAGTTCATTGCCGTGGTGTTCCCGCTGCGGTACTACGACATCATCACCGACAAGGTCAAGAAGCTGGTCATGCTCACGTGGGCGACTCTGCTGCTGAATGTACTGTTTGGCGCCATCGCCTTCCTGCTCGGCCTAGAGACAGTGGTGGAGTTCGACATTCGCATACTCAATGTCACTAAGGTGGCCACGCACTGCCGCTGGGAGCTCATGTCAAGCGCCTTCATGTTCTCCCTCGAGATGCAGCTGGTCATGTTGTCGGCCTGTGCAGGTGCACTGTTCGTCTACACCGGAATGAAGGGCGTGTGCCACCTCAGGCGCATCAGGGCTGGTCGCATTGTTGACAACAGCGGCCTCACCGAGCGCTTCAAGATCTTTCAACGTATCTTCATGGTGGTGTCGCTGCTGATCGTTCTGGACATTATCGGTGCAAGCCTGAGGATTGGCTCCCGTTGGTATTCCATGCCCATCACCACATCGGTCCTCCACCTTCTCCGCCTGCTGATGATCATAGCGGAGGGCTGGGTGTACGGTTTGGGCAATGGTATGATGTGTGCGGCTTACAAGACCCTGATCCCTCGCCTCTGTGATAGAGGACAGATACACCCAGAGAATTGAATGATAATAATGTTCGAAAAATTGTGTACGTTTCAGTACTTATGTGTGCTGTATTTTGATGAACTTTTGGTTGAGTGCCTTCCTCAAAGAGTGAAAATATAAGAACATAAAACGAATACTAGATGTCAGCCTTTGTTGAAGGGAGTATCCAGCCTTTTGCACTTCCTACGCGCAATTGGGTCAGACGGGTCAGATTCGATCGTAATATCAGTGTTCTCAAGATCCTCAAACCTTCAGAAAATTGATTTGAAGTAACCGTCTTGATGGGCAACACAATTTTTGTATGAGGCATACGACTACTGTAATGCCAAAGCAAAGTGGAGTGAACAGCAAAAGGAGCACATTTAATTTGTTCAGCAAGCAATGTTTAGTTGGTGTTGATGGCAAGAGCACCTTAATGCTGTTTTAAATTCCTACACGCATGTTTCAGAACGCTTGCTGTCCTTAAAGGGAGTGTCCTACTTCTTTCTGCTTTTCAGTTCTTGTTACATTAGACCGGTACAAGTTAATAAGTAATGTCAGTTGTCTCGAAATCCTTTTGAATTACTGAGAGCTGCAAGTTGAAGCAGCTGACCCCGGAGGCCAAATCTCAGTTGACACCCTGCTCAACACAATGAAAGTAACACATTCCATTTGCCTTGCTTTTTCCGACGATGTGTTCTACAATGTGCGCAGCACAGCAACGTGTTCAACGTTCGTGTAATAAATGCTACGAGAGCTTGAAAACCTCTGCTTAGATGAAAAGATATGCGATTAAGAAGCTATTTTCTCGCGAATTCAACGTAACGTTACACTATTACTCGGATTTCTGTCCTATGGCGATTACCAGAGTGGCTCTTTTCGAGGCGGACTTGTGCTTCAAGAATGGGAGTATGACATCAGCCATTTTACGCACCGATTCGATCTTCCACCAATAAGCTTCTCGGTAACAGGCCGTTGCAAATCACAGACGGCCACCATCACAGACAGGCCAATCACACACCTTCTTTGATTTGCACCAGTAGAGTATTATTATCATCGTCACAATTACCTACGGTAATTGTGGCGATGGCGGTCGGGACCGCAGCCAAGAAACGTATTGTAGCCAAAAGCGTTGACAACGCAGCCCGGACTCGAAAATAATTGGAAGTCATACCTGTCTCAATTTTTGACGGTGCTTGAGTGCCACTGCACAGTGCTACTATTAGACTATCTGGTCTTGGGTTCGCTAGAATATGTTTTTTAAATATACTCAAAAGATGGGGTTGAATTATTTCGGCAAATTTTAGCTTCGTATTTCATGATTTTTTTGCATGTTTTCAGTACAACCTCTCCAGTTTTTAGCTGCAGAGACGAACAGAAACACGAAATAGAATATTATCTTGGTTATGAAACATTGCAATGCATAATATTAGCCTCTTTGCGAGTGATAACGGTGCAAAACTTTTTACAACTCGCAAAAGTTTGCAATGCTTGTTTTGCAACCACACACAC